CGGGCAGGAAGTATGAATGTGAAAGCATTTGATGGGTCTCAAAGGGCCACGATTGGGGAGATTAACCTTTGTCGGCAGATGGGGCCAACTTGGTTCGATGTTGAGTTCCAAGTACTAGACATATCAACTACATACAATCTTTTATTAGGTTGACCTTGGATACATGCCGCTGGGGCCGTGGCTTCCATGCTACACCAAGCTGTGAAGTTCGAATGGAACCATTAGGAGGTAATCATTCACGGAGATAGGGGGTCGTCGGGCCGTCAGCAACCTACAAAACAATTACTAAGCTTAGCATATGAAAATGTATATTAGTAATGTACGTGTTAAGTCAAAAATATTTTCTCACCATGGTTTCGTCGGGCTCCTGAGTATAAGCATCTGTGGTGTCCTCATCATCGCATACAGTGGGCTCCGTGAAGGGCTGAGACGAAGCCTTAATAAGAAAATTAAAAACTCATTTATGGAAAATCATTAAGGAAAGGAAAAAAATTAAAATTTTACAGGAATACAAACATACCTGCACCTGTGATAGATCCGCATCAACCGCCAGGGATGAGCTAAAACTCAACCTACGCCCACCATCCACGTCTCGGGTCGGCTGATCTTCAGCTGCGGTAGATGGGCCTGAAAAGAACTGGTCTACATCTCCGTCGAATGTACCCGTGATCAACAATGGATATGACGGGGTGACCTGCGATGCTAGCAGATCCAGCTGAAGGCTGTACGACAGCATGCTGCTGGAAGGCTCGTCTAGTTGAGGGAAATAACTCGGTTGATCATCTCCAAGATCTTTATTAGGTGCCTCAACAAGTGGGTCAACAGGTGCCTCAACGCCCCCTTGCTGGGGACCACCTCCCCGTCGTCCCCCGCGACCCCGTGGGGCAAGCCTGCCTCGTGGGGCAGCCCTAGCTCGTGCCCGACCCCTGCATCATAGGACAGGCCTACCCCGATGGTGCTGCTCTGGCGCCACATACTCAACCGCGTGATCTAACCTCTCGTCCTCTCTGGCTCGCTGCAGTGTCCGGAGAGCCAGCTCTACCACCCGCCGACCATACTCAACGACTACAGGATTGTCGGCATGCTGTTGTATCTCCTGTCCCAACTAGTAGACCATATGATGCCCAATAGCCTGCACAACATTTAAAATATTAATTACATAACACTATATCACAGTTATAAGTATGGGTTCCAACAAAAACATACCAGTGCCCCGTGCCTCCCGGGGTATGGTCTGAACCGACCGCCAGCTTGATAAACGGGGTTCCTGATCATCAGTCGGGTGTGATGGCGGTACCATGACGTATAGAGCTCATTAGTCGCCGCCTGGATCTGTGAAGGTGGTGGCAGAATCAGGTCCTCTCACTACTCCCAAATATGGACTTGCACCTCTAGCCATGCTACAAATGCGTCGTCCAACCTCGAACGATCATCCCGCTGATAGTGTGTAGCCACCCATGCAGGCTCCCTCGGTATAGTTTGGGGACGGTCAAACTGGCAAAGTACCCGCTCTGTGGCATGATGCTCCACAACATTGAGGCACATCAGCGGGACGAAATTGCTCTAAAGTTGTCGGTAGACCGAGCAATAATCGGGCAGATCAGCTATCAACTCGTCGCTGTATGGCGTCCAGATGAACTATCAAATAATAACATAAAAGTGAGTATGCGCAACACAAGTGAATTTATAACAAGTAAGTTTAGGTACATATTTACCTGTGCGGCCTCCAGCATATCCAACACATCCCTGACAAGGGGAGATTATGATGAGCATCACTGCCTCGGTAGTTCCCACGTCGGAGAACCCACCTCCTAGCTAGAGGGAGAAACGGAGGTACTACATTTGGAGGTAATGGTGGTAGAGGTGGCTGCAATGGCAGAAACCGCTCCCAGGCCCAAACCTCACATACAAGGTTGACGTAAAATTTAAGAGTCATTTGATTATATAGAATTGGAAGTAATGAACAGAGTATTCGAATATGTTGTCACCTGTAGAAGATGCAGAAAACCTCATATGTCGACATGGGTGCCCATGCTAGCCCGACACATAATCCTGTACAGGTAAGCGAGAACAGCAGCACCCCAGTTGTACTGGGGTAACTCATCTAGCTGCTGAAGATGATGTAGAAATTGCAGACTCACTAGATTTCCCGAAGTGTCTGGGAACAAGACACCCCCAAAAAGAAGGAACAACGTCAACCTCGTGTACCGGTGAATATGGAGATCCTCTGTCTCGCCGGTGATGTCGGGTGCAATACCTCCATAAGCTGTTTAATAGCTGTCACAGAAATGTGACTGCCCCCTCTAGCTGCAGCCTCACCCTGTGGCCTGAAACCAGTATACTGCTGCAACAAATCCAAATACTGGGCACGCATCATAGCTCTCATATATTGAGGCAGTGCAACGGTCAGTCCATCCCTGAAGCGTGATGGTGGCCTCGCCAGTGGGCAGGTGAAAAGTGTGCATCTCCGGTCACCACCGCTCTATCAACGCCGTGATGAGAGACCAGTCGAGCTGCAGCCGCCTAATCTCAAAAATCCTAAGGAAGCCCGTACCACGCAGGCGATGGACTACGCGGGGATGGAAATCTCTCTTCCTCAAAAAGTCCCACAAGTCGTCCGGTCTCCTAGCGCGGAAAGTATGATCCACTAGATGTCCCTCCCATACGTAGGTGGATCTATGGTCGCCCTGTAACACTAATATCTGATCCGAGGCTGGTCCAAGATGCACAGGCGGCAAGTCCATGTCATGTACTGTAAATTAAACAATATTAATTGTGTGTTTGTGTTATAATAATTAATATTTAATTATTTAACTGGACACATTATATATCTATGGGTTCCAGGCTCGATATTTGAGGCCCAATAGCACCAAGCTATCATGAATTCTTATGTGTGTCAATTTCAATATTTTTAGAATTTTATTTGTGTTATAATAATTAATATTTAATTATTTAATTGGACAGAGTAAATATCTATAGGTTCCAGGCTAGATATTCGAGGCCAGTAGCACCAAGCTATCCTGAATTCTTATGTGTGTCAATTTCAATATTTTTAGAATTTTGTTTGTGTTATAATAATTAATATTTAATTATTTAATTGGATAAAGTAAATATCTATAGGTTCCGGGCCCGATATTTGAGGCCCAGTAGCACCAAGCTATCTTGAATTCTTATGTGTGTCAATTTCAATATTTTTTAGAATTTTATTTGTGTTATAATAATTAATATTTAAATAATTGGACAGAGTAAATATTTATGGGTTCCAGGCTCGATATTTGAGAACCAGTAACACCAAGCTATCCTGAATTCTTATGTGTGTCAATTTTAATATTTTTAAAATTTTAATTGTGTTATAATAATTAATATTTAAATAATTAGATAGAGTATATATCTATGGGTTCCAGGCTTGATATTTGAGGCCCAGTAGCACCAAGCTATCCTGAATTCTTATGTGTGCCAATTTCAATATTTTTACAATTTTGTTAGTTTTATAAATTAAATAATTAATTTTTAAATGGACAGAGTATATATCTATGAGTTCCACGCTCGATATTTAATTTGACATCATATATTAATTTGTTAGTTCTGTGTGTTTGTTTTATAAATTAAATAATTAATTTTTGTAAAGTGTAATTGGATAGAGTTTGTAGTTAGTAGATACTTAAACTACAGATATTCTACGCTAAAAGGCTCTATATTTTACTACGCTAAAAGGCTCTATATTTTATGACGCTATAAGGCTTTATATTTTACTACGTTAAAAGGCTCTATATTTTACTATGCTATATAAGGCTCTATATTTTACTACGCTAAAAAGCCACTATTCTTTAAGCAAATAAATAATCTAAACTAAATAAAACAACAAACATAACATTCACGAAATTACATATAAAACAGTAAAAGAAATTTATGAACATTTTTATTAACAATAAAAATTATTTCTCAACTTTTAACTATTTTTTTAAACACTAATAATTTAATTCGGGTAAAACTAACATACAAATTTAATCGCAAACAAAACACAAATCAACGTAGAAACACATTCAAGAAAACAAATATGCATAATTATACGAGTTTCGACATAAACTAAATCGGAATACCTCGATTTATGTTTTTAGAAATGTCAGAAATTTGAAATTTGGAGCCCGAAACAAGGAATCCATAACAATCGAAGGCTTGGGTTGTATGCGGGACCTACACTCTTCACTTTTTGTTTGATGGGTGGGGTCCAATCGATTTTTTTTTTAAAATCG